CTGTGTGCGTAAACGTTTTGATTGTCGTCACCTTTTCACCGCAACCGCCCGGCTCAGATGGTAGAGTCGGTCAACCGGAAGGGTCGAGGGTTCGATCCCCAGCTCCTGCAGCCACATGTCCGATGTGTCCTAGTCAGAAGACGAGAAAAGAACTAAACATGCTCAGTTCATTTACCATTTACTAAAATGAACAAATGATCAAAATCATAAAACAAATCAGAATCAGAAATACTTTATTAATCCCAGAGGGAAATTCAATTGTTACAGTTTCTCCAAAATATACAATATAGCAGGAGAAATATAATAATACAAATAATAATCAAATAGAATAGGAATGTAAGTAAGATATCAATAATAGGTACAAGAAATATTTACAGGAATAAGAGTCAGATGGAATATATACACACATTATCAAGATGGTGTTTTGTGACACGCTGAGAATGTAACCGAGTGAAAGACGATTGAAAATGTTTGACACGAGCTCCGGGACTTTTAGACTTTGAAAACAGCGACAAAGTTTGGGAAATGTTTGATTTCCGATCGTTGTTCTGTTAAAGCTGCAGCTCTGAGGTGAAAACAGTCAACAGTGATGTTTGTGGATCAACACCAGGAAAGAGTCATCGCTGTTAAATATTTGAAAAGACATTTTTTATTGTGTTTTAGAAACACAAACAAAATTCCGGTCATTCCGAGAAACCTCAGCAGATGAAACCCACATGGCCCCACACCACACCCGTTATGTAGAAACGGTCTTTGTGGTTCAATGACCTTTAATAACTAACAAATAAGAGTCCAGAGACGGCGTTTCAGGTGCTCTTACAACTTCTGGATCCAGTCTACCTGCCCACATATTATTTATATACCGTTTAATCTCATTAAATAATCTAACCGCTGTGATCCCGGCAGCGTGACCTTTCCACAGCTGCAGTCAGAGGGTCGGGGAAATATTTCAGCAAACGCTCCAACTGAGACGACCTCAATTAACCGACGAGTTCAAAGTCAGCTGAGCAGGTTACTTCAGGACAAGGAGAGAGAGAGGGCGTGCATCCCGATGGAGAGCTCAGAGGTTTACTTCAGATCTTCAGCCGGACAGATTCAGATCCAGAGGATTTCCCGAAGTCTTCTTGTTGCAGTGAGTCTGTTAAACTCTGCTGGTTTTATTTGGTCTTACTAAACGCTTACTTCTGGCTACGTACGGAGAGAGATGAGTTAAATTCATACTTTTTAAAATAAAAATGTTTTTGTTTTTGAATTTTAAAGGAAGAATGTGTGACTTTTTGATCCAGTAGATGTCGCCTTTAGCTCCAGCATGAAACCAAAACAAACTGCTGTTTGGCCATGCCTCCTCCATCCTGAAGCCTCCGCTCTCCTCCAGAGACACACCTCCAACCCCTCTCCACTCGCTTTCACATGAAGAGTATAAAGCAAGCTGCAGACAACATTGTCTTCGGCAGGACAGAGTCCAGAAATGATGCTGGAGGAGCCTACAGCGTCGTATCTGAACATGTTCACTCACACAGCGGTTGTGTTTGATGAGTTAAAAGTAAGAGCTGATTGTTAAAAACACAACAACTGGAATGAGCTTAGTGGATGTTGCGCTGTTTCAATACATGGTCATACTCGGGAAACCTGAAAGAAACAGCATGTGGAAGGATTGTGATGAGCACAGTAAACGATGATCTGAAAACAGTTCTGTTGGTTTTGAACCGACTCTTAGTTAATTAAGGAAAAAATGTGGAAGCAGTGTGTACCTTAATGTTCCCCGTCTCTAATCAAAAGCATAATAAAGGCTTCAGGAGCTACACCTGAATGTGTGCCGACTCGGAGGAGATGAAGGAAATGAAAGCTGCAGGAAGAGACGGATGGCATTTCGTCTAATGAGAGCAGAGTGACGGACTGTCTGAGACATTTGAGATGACCTTAACTGACTTTAAGATGAAACTCAAACATTAAAACAATATTATGATTCTAACCTTTAACAGACGTGCAAACAGGATAAAACAACAGGTTTCCATTCATTGTTTAAACTCACAGACGCTGAAGCTCAGTTTAAATAACCTCTTAGTTTGAATCAGTTAAAAGGCAGCACGAGAAAACTCTTCAGCACGTCATTGGTTAGGATTTGTAGCTGCAGCGTTTGGCCTCCCGTTTCACATTATATCGTTATATTTGTTGAATCTGGGTCCTGGTTAGAAAAATAGAGTTTATAATAGAATGAAGCGTAAATCTCTGATATAAAAATGTCAGACTGAAATGGTTGCAGGGTATCAGATGTCATGAAACGCGGTGGAGCTGCTACAAATCATTGTTTCACACTCGCAGAAACATCAGGACCACAGCGGAGCATAAGTTATCATCTTCTCAGACTTTTCTTTCAGTGTTTAAATGGTTAAAAGTACCAACAGGTCAGAACCTCAAATATCTGTAGACCTCCTGGTTGTTGTCTTTGGCTCCGCAGCGTCCGTCCCTGCAGATACGAGCAGAAACTCCAGGAGAGCGAGCTGCTGACAATGCAGCAAGTGTCCAGGACCGCCGCTCGGGAGCACAGGATGTTATGTAACACACACACACACACACAGTCACACACACAGTCACACACACACACACAGTCACACACATGAAGAATATACAGAGGCTGTCCGCTTCAGCCTTGAATTCAATCTGCCTGCTGGCTGGTTAGCGAGCTAGCAAAGCCAAAACCAACAGTTTATTTTTAAGCCCTTTTGAGCGGCTACCTCCAGCAAGGAAAATGAAGCCAGTGCGAGTGCAACAACCTGCAGTTCCTCAAGTGTCCACTTGAGGCTGGCTCCTAAAGCCCCCCAAGACCCATACACACCCCATGTTAAAAGAAGAAATGAACATGTTGAACGCCTTGTACAAAAGACGAATTAGGACTGAATAGTTCTGTCTTCATCGGCACAAACTGTACGGGGATGTTCTATAACTCATGTTTTGATTTTATAAAAATGAAGAGTTATTCATAATCAGGGGCTTACCTGTAGAGGTTTGTGTGATAGGTGTAATTTATTTGAAATAACTGATAAGTTATAAATAAATTCATGGAGAAATAAATATGATTTTAGTGACATAAAACAGAAATTCTTGTAAAAAATGTCATAAAACAATTGTAGAAGTTCATTTAAGGTTAAAAATGTGTAAAAGACATCAGTGTTAAAACAGATTCAGTCTGAAGGATTTAAAACACTTTAAAAACAAGTTTGTTTGTTTAAAAGCTTTGAAATAAACAGATATGTCTGCCAAGAGTTATGAATCTGTTTTCTACCTGTAATGTCTATCAAGAGATAATGCATGTGATTGATTAGTTATGCCTGATTCTGCATGACGCTGACAGAGGAAGCATCGTGTCTTGAGTCCATTTCTTCATTTTACTCTTTTTCAGGGCACAACATTAGCTGTCTCTGCCCGAGCCTGAGACCGGCCAATCAGAATTCGATCTGGTCTGTTTTCCCTCAGGTTTTTATTTTCAACTATTTGATTTCTACATCTTTATTTAAAACAAACAAACAACCAGAGACTCCCAGCGTACCACAAGAGGGAGCTCAGACTGAGAATGAACGATCTGAACGAGATGTAATGAACATGTGGAGGACTCTCTCAGAGTCCTTTGGAGGAAGATAAGGTTTTATCTTTCCCAACAGTCTCAGCTGCTTTTACTAACGAGCTAATCTGTTTGAAGGAGACAAAACTCACAACAAGATCTCTGCCACATGTCGACTGGCTAACGGGCCGAGAACACCGTGAACACCATCAGGGAGTACACATTTATCAAACACTTTTATTTCATTTAGATTCAGGAGTTTAACTCCATCCAGGTTTGAATGAGCTCAGCACGGCTTCATTTTATGTTTAATGATCCTTTATGATTTCAACAACTGCGCCCTTGTTTTCAAAAGACTGAGACTTTGAATACTGTGTTTGTTGTTTTGTTGTTGTTGTTGTTGTTTTGTTTGTATGGAACGTCTAGGACAGGATCTAAGGACCCTCGGGGGTCCCTGGACCTGAGTTTGGACACCACAGCTCTAAACCACACTGCTGCTGCTGAATTCACTTCAGAGTTAGAAGTCTGTTCTAGAAGTGATGGGGTCTGGTCACTCCTGTTCTTGATGATTTGGCGCCCTCTGGTGTCCTGAAACAAACAGTACTCTATATTGTGTATCGTTTTAGTGGTTGTAGTAGTTTGACAGTATTTATCATTTATCCACACAAAGAAAAACATAAACCCTTTAGACTACAGATCAGCAAATTAGTAACTCAATAAATCTGGTGCAGCCATCTTTTTCTTTTTCTTTGTATGAACGATTAAATTGTATTACACCTTCCCCTGATAAATAACATTTAGAAATAACGCTTCATAAAAACAACACCTTTGTATTTAAATATCGTTTTTCAAATGAAAAAGGTACGGATCCCCTGAGGGCCCAAACAGCAAAAATAAAATGTCTTGTGCGCACAATATAAATACTTATAAGTATAATTATTTGGAGTCTTGTAATTTGTAACTGCCTTTGTATTTATTTCATTTTATTTTGTGTGTATTTAATGAATGGTGGTTAACGGACAAGTCGTGTTCTTTACTGATTTAAAGTCTTAAAAAATAAAAACCGTACTAAATGTGATGAGCAGTGATGTAAACATTTAAAATATGACATTTCTGAACATCGACATCATAACGGTATAAAATGAACCATGTACGTGAGTGTCTGTTCAATCTGCTCAAACGAGTCATCAGAGGAAACTGACTTTAAACACCTGATGAGTCATTATTAAGCGAGTTACCTGAGAGGGATCTTTATTTCTAAATAATCTTTATTTGTAATAGTTTCTAACAGTGTTCAGAGCTGTAATGGAGAGGTTACAGACGTTTACATAAACTCTGAGTTATCAGCTGATTTAGAATAACACAAAGTCACCTGGATGATATTCAAACCTTTTGTATTCACACCTGAGTGTAAATAATGATGAGTGGAAGTGACGTACGACTCCTCCTTATCTCTAAACAGAGAAGTCGAAAACGAAACTAAAGTTGAGTTTCTGACGCAGACAGAAGAAGAGTCGTTAAAAACACAAACTACTCAAAGTCAGAATCAACAACAATGGAGTGTGCTCTTCTCTTTTCTCTCCTTTGGTCGGTATCAACGTTTGATGATGTTAACGGTGAGAAAGAACAATAAGAGCTCCTTTTTCTTGTGGTTGTTTTGTCTGCTTCCTGTAGCCGAGCTGATCGAAATCATACGATGTTAAACGAGGAGCAGTAATAATGTCGACGGACATGTTTAAACACTAATAAGTGAAAACTTGTGAATACCTAGTTATTTATTGACTGTTGGTGACATGGAGCGAGGCCTTGTTCCTCCTTCCTGAATGACGGACAGTTATGCTGCGTTCAAGTGCTGCTCGTTATTTCGAGTTGCGAAGTCGTTTTTCAAACTTCAGTGTGTTCCCGGGATTTCAGTTTGGAAAGTCTGAGTGTTTTAACATCAGTCGAGCTAAACAATAGTCTCTCCCTGCATCTCACTCCTCTTAAATACTGTCTCCTCGGTCCTCGGCCGAACCGGAAGTAGTTGTAGACCCGCCATGTTAAGGAACGTCCCACAGCTCTGGGGTGTGTTCGAATTGTCCCTCCTATCTCCTTCACTATCCACTTCACCTTAACCCCGGGGAAAACGTCATGAGGTTAAGGAAAGATGTTAGGAGAAGTCATAAAGGACTTAGGGAAAGGAGATCTCGTTGCTCTGACAATCCGACCACATTTCCACTAGGTGACGTCATTAAATGCGACGGGCCGGCGGAGGTTAATGACGTGGGTCTGCCGTGTTGAAACTACAATGTTCCGAAAATGGACTACAAAAAGATCATGTAAAAAACTTTCCCCTGTGCTTCTTACCGGTGAAATAATCCTGATCACCACGAGGTTGGGATTGAAATAAAAGAAATATAGACTACCAGACTACAAGTAAGAAAAGTGAAACCATCAGCTTCCTGTCCAATCAGAAATCAACATCAACATCAATATGATTGGATGAAATGAATTGTTACATTAATGTAAGATATAACCTACACATAATGTTTTAAACATACAAATGTACAGCAGCACAAAACATTCTGAAGAGAATGAAATATGTTGAATCAAACATCATCTGATAAAAATGTCTCTTATCTTTTATCTCTTTCATGATCTGAGTCACTTTACGATCATCGTTAATGTTCCTGAACGGTCGGATGCTCGACTCGCTTTAAATGTTGAGGCCGCAAGGAATTGTGGGACGTCATATCTCATCTCCTTTCCTAAAGGATGGTCCAGTGTATCCTAAAGGAGGTTATAAAGGAAGCATTGACCCACCTTTCCTTAGATTTTAGAGAATTCAAACGGCTCTTATCATGGAAACCACTTAAAAAACACTTAAATGCTTCATTTCACTCAGTTAGGAACCTTCCTCAGAAAAAATGACGATTCCAACGCACCATAGTGTCTTGGATTACTTTGGTTCACCATCTATTTTTATTTCTAAGCACCTTGCTGGCCAGGTGCTGCCTGTTTCCAAAACTTTGCTCCTGATGTTTCCTCCATGTCGTAAATTAGACGGCCCAGAGTTCAGTGACCTAACAAGTGGTACTTTGTTTTTAAAGGGACAGTAAATGAATGAACACACACAGTGGGGAAAGCTTTAACTGAAAAAATATACCTGCATAACCAACAAGACAAGATGACATCGTTTAGAGGTTCAGACACTCAGAGACGTCAGTCTGCATTTAGGTGGACAAAGACGAGAAAGCATGAAAGGTTTCTTTGATATAATATGTTGATGCTCCATTAATAAACTTTACTGGAACTGTTTTCAGGTTTTCTGCATGTAAACAAACTGATTCATCCTCGTGTTTCTGTCTCAGGTCGAGTGGTGGTGAAAGAAGACAGTGATGCTGTGTTACCGTGTTCCCTCAGCACCAAGGAGAACATCGAGACGAAGATCTTTGACTGGAAGAAAGACGATCACAAGGAGGTGTTCCATTACAACGGAGGAGATTATTACGGTCATGGCATTACAGGTCAAGACAAACAGTTTGAAGGTCGAGTCTCACATTTTGAATACGAGCTGGTGAACGGTAACGCCTCCATAAAGATCACAGAGACGAAGGTGTCTGACAGTGGAAACTACACCTGTTTTTTTCCTCGTCTGCAGCCGCCTCAAACGTTCCTCATTGAGCTGCTGGTTGGTGAGTATTTTTAAAATAACAGTTAAAAACATTTTTCCTGAGATGACTGGTTTAAGAGTCACTGATGAACTTTTTTTAAAGTAGTCAGAAATCACATGTTTGATATTTCCTAAACAGTACAGGTTATATCACTCTGCACAAACACATTTATCATCTGATTGTCTTCATTACCAGCTCCATAATATTCCACACAAACAGGTTTGTTTTGTATCTCAGATTGTGTTTAAACCTCTTGAGATTCATTTTCATTTTGTGCATTTCTGTCTCTTCAAACCATTTCAAAGTGAATAATATGAAGAGCATGAGGAGCTGGAACATGTTCATGTTAAAGTAAACACTCTGTGAGGCAGATATCTGCAGGATGTCCACCTCAAGTTCTTTTAAAGAACTGGATCACATTTAAGCTTTACACACTGACTTTGAGATATTTTACAAAGTGCAGTACAGAGCTTCTCCAGCAGGTGTCCACAGAGCTCTTTAAAACTTCTCCAAAGTTATAAATGTATTTCATCAAATCTTTAATATAGATTCAATCTCCTCAAGTGTTCAGTTTGACTTTGAAAATATCTTCTCTGTATCTGAATAAATACTCACATATCTTTAATGATCAATAATAGTTTTCTCAACATGGTAATAAAGTGTATTTACAGATGGGGCCGATAGTCTCCTTAGATGGACTCAGGTCGAGTTAATGGATGAAGATCTGTCCAGTGTACGGGGGCCACAAATGACTTTAAACTATAAGCCATGTTAAATGATGCATCTATTTTATTACCTAACTCATATCTAGTTTGTTCAAAACAAACATGAAACAAAAATCTAAAGATGATCATGATCTTCATTCATTTTAATTTGATTTATTTTCTGCACAAATGAGATGTGACATGTTATTCAGAGAGTTTTTAAGGGGAGATTTGGGCGAGAGAGAGAGAGAGAGAGAGAGAGAGAGAGAGACACACGCAGAGAGAGAGAGAGGGAGAGAGAGAGAGAGAGAGACAGAGAGTGAGTGCAGGAAAGATGACACAGGTCGGGTTTGAACCTGGGCCGCCCGCTTCGAGGACTAAAGCCTGTGTACATGGGGAGGGCAAACCAACCACTTGTCCACCAGCAGACTGAAGCTTTTTATTCACGTTTTAGATGGATTTAATATAACTGTATAAAATGTATTTTTTATTGATCACAGTGATGATAAGCCCTATAAGCCATGCTAATAACATCACACAAGCACTCTAACCTTCATTTTTCTTTTTTCTTTCAGAGTGTATCTTAAAGGACAGAACGAAGGAGGAGGAGCCAGGTGAGTCCTGATGACGTCATCCTCTACTGATCACACACCTGATACCACTCACAAATATTGAAGATATATATGATTCACTTTATTGAACGTTATCCTTCAGTTTGTGACGTAAAGACTCACAACACTTCAGTTAAAACTAAAGGAATCATAACTCATTAAATATGTTTCAGTTGAATTTATAATAATAAAATCATTTTTGTTAGTTGATATAACCACGTGTCCTCCACACCTAGCAGCTCTGATGAACGGGCTTCAGGTCAGGTGGTTTACAGGGTCCTTCAACATGTCATAGCCTGCTGGGACAAATAACGGGATCTTTTATTCACACATGTAGTTCACTTTATTTCCCTGTTTATTCCTCTTTTTATAAACATATTTAATCAGATATGTGTTGAACAAGAGAATCACATTTTATGTTTCTGATGCTGTAAATAAGCTGAATAATTTATTATTTATACTTTGTACACAGGTGCATGTCCAGAGCCATCGGTCACCTCACTTAAGTCAACAAAGGACTGGTCTCTGCTGCAGTGTGAAGTTTATGGAGCTTCTCCTCGACCTGAAGTGGAGTGGAGGAACAGTTCTGGAAACATCCTTAATGCTAAAGAAACACAGGTCACAGAAAGAGAAGGCAGCTACGACATCATCCTCAACACCACTGTGACCAAGACCGACCACTACAGCTGTGTGGTCACACAGAATGAGATCTGTCATCAGATTTCCTCTAAGATCTTTGTGTACATCCACGGTGAGATTCTTCCTTTCAGTGATTTATTGTGAATATAATTTAAAACATACTGTGTTCTGACTGAACTCTGAGTATTTGATCTCAAAGCAGTTTAAAAAAAGGATGAAGTCACGTTGACCCATCAGGTAAATGTTTCCACCTGAGAGAAAAATGTAAATCTAAACTGTGACTCTGTTTGATTTATTACCATTAATAGGAGAGATGATGAACAGGGACAGGTAATAAATAAACTATCACACATAAACAAAGTCCCAGTGAGCTGTAGTGAACATCTGTGTTGTCATTCTATCAGCTGATTGTGCTGAATAAACACAAATGATACAAACAGTCACAGGATGAAATGAGGCTGAGATTAATTTCATGTTCAGTCTGAATCTCTGTTGTTTTAAACATCAATGATTCTAAACTAACACTAAATGAGATGTTAATAATGTGCTGCTGAATTCTCAGTGTTACATTTTCTTATTGTTAAAGGATGATCAACATTGAGGAGTGCAGCATTAAACACATTCTATCTAAATGATATCTAGTTTATATTAAACCATAAAAAAATCACTTTTAACACCCGATAATATCTCAACGACTTCTTCCCCTCTGTGCATGGACTGAAGGTCAGACCTGATGAGTCTCCTCGTCTCATTCTACTTATTAGAGACAAAACTCACCTGACAAGTCCAGATCAACATCTGATTTCAAGATATGAAACACTAAAACAAAAGACC